CAGCGGCCCGCCTCACTTCTCCACGCTCACGAAAATGTAGCCCTGTCGGAAGGAGTGGAACCAGCCCTGCATGAGCAGCGCCCACTGGATGCCGAAGGCCGCCAGCAGGAAGTTGAAGCCCACCGCGCCGTAGCCGTAGCGCTGCAGGAAGGTCATGAGGAAGCCGAAGCCCACGAAGATCATCACGTGCACGTCCTGGAAGCCTGTGGGGACAGCGCAGCCGCCATCGCGGGAGCCCTGGGTCTGTCTTCCCGACCCGCCAGCGCGGGCGGCCCCAAGCCCAGTCCCCCCTCTGCATCTGGATCCCGCCAGGATGCATGAATGCATGTTATCCGGCTGAGAACAGCCACTTGTCTGCCGGAAGCGCCTCTGCAGGCCGAGGGCGCGGAGCTGGGCCGGTGTCCACTTTAGGCCACGGGCTTGTAATGCGATGCCCATGGCCAAGCACCTGAGCTGACCCCCGGAGGAACACACCCCCTCTCGGCTAGGACGCTTTCCAGGGTCCCTGAGACAGGGTCCCACCCAGTTGCTCCATGTGCTGGGAGATGATTCTGGAAGGTCCCTTAGCACAGAAGGGACTCTCCGCCTTGCTCGGTAACGCTCACGTGCCAGGGCGGCAGAGTGGAAATGCAATGCCCCTCCATGCCAGGCGCTCGCCAGGTCAAGGGCACTAGTCAGGCTACTTTATTGTGATTGTCGTTACTTAGTCAGACCTCGAGTTCTGGCGCAAGCCCGGCCCCTGACAGAACCACCAGCTCAGGGCTGCACTAAGGGTAGGTGGGTCTCGGGGCGCTCCCAGGCCAGCTCCAGGGGCTCGGAACGATACGTCGAAGGGCTTCGTGGAACAAAGACCAGGCCAGGCTGGCGCTGCGGCTGAGGGCTGTGGGAGAAGCAGAGTGCCGGGCAGCGGAGGCAGGGCTGGGCCTGAGCAGGCCTGAGGTGGGCAGGAGGGATGAGGGTGAGGAGGAGGCCTGTTCTGCCTTGAAGTGAGCCTGGCTGGAAGGCGCCTGCAGGGAGGTGAGGACCCCGCAGCATCACAGAGGGCCCCACTGCTTCTCTGGGGGGCCTGCCTAGACCCCTCTGGGCATCTCTTTCTCCCCCCACCCAATGCACCCTTTTGCTCCCTTCCTCAAACCGCGCCAGTTGCTCGTGGATGGCTCATGAAGTTTGGAGTTACTGAAATGCTTCTAACACGAGCGGCCCGAAGCTTAGAATCTTCAGCAAGGCCTAGCTGACCCCTCTGAATTGCAGGATGTACACCACAAGGGCACACCTGCGAGGGCCCTTGGGCAGCGCTCACCCTAGAGATCCGCGGAGCGCATTTGAGGAGCTACGGGCTTGGGCCAGAGCTCATTAGCTACCATGCACCCGGCCTCTTCCCCGCTAACCCGCTGCACTCGCTGGGGTCAGTAGAAGTTGGTGAGACGCCCCCCAGCGGGGGAGACTGGAGCCACGGGCCCAGACTCTGGCTGCCCACCGGCAGCCCTGGCCAGGCGGGTGGGCACCAGCACTGGCCTGTGAGCCGCGGGCAGAGTCTGGGGCTCAGGCCCCCCTCCGCCTGGCCCTCTGGCTTCCTAGCTGGGCGACCTTTGCAAGGCACTTCCCCTCGACACTGAAAGATGGGAAACCTCATCTGAAAAACTCATCACGGCGCCTCCCTCCCCGGAGGAGCGAGGCGGAAAGGTGGCTGCCCCGGGCTGGCACTGCCGCCGCCCATGTGGCCCTCTCAGCCCTCTCCGCCGGCCGCTGGTGCTCGAGTCTCGGCAGGAAGAGCTCAGGGTGCCGCTGGTGGCTGGTGGTCCCTTCCCCAGCCCTAGCTTGGGCCACACAGCTGCCCCCCAGCCCCCAGCCTGCTCCGCTGAGAGGCCTGCGCCCCGCCTCCCCCTCAGGGCCCCTCCGTCCCCCAGGCAGGCGCAGACCCCTGGTGCAGCCAGCTGAGGCACCCCCTGTTCACCGACCGTCTCTGGCCTGCGTTTCTGCTCATGCAGCCCGTGGTTGCTTGGACTTTTTTTTTTTAAGGTTTATTTATGCACGCAGAACTGGGGTGCAGGCCACCAGGGCGGTGAGAGGCTTCACCAGAGACAGAGTGGGGAGCAGAACAGGCAGACGGACAATGCCTAGGGGAGCGGGGGGGGGGGGGGGGGGGGGGGGGGGGGCTGGAGGGGTCTGCTACGCCCTAGGGGTCATCTCTGGGGCGCCAATGGAACACGCATGAAAAAGTGGCTGGGCAGCGCCGCACCCCCACCCACCGCGCCGCCAGGGGGCAGGCTTGGACACTGCGGTCATAAGGCAACTGGCTCCCGCCGGACCTGCGGTCCTTGTCCTTCTGTGCAGGCTGCCCTGCGAGTGAGTGCAGTCCTGCACTGGGACATAATTAACCTGTGGGTGAACAGCCTGGGAAGGTGGGAGTGACTGCTGGAGGTGAGCTTAAGGGTCTTTTCCAAAACCCACTGTGGTCGCCTGCTGGTAGACGGAGGCGAAGCCAGAAGCCCAGGGCACGGGGTGTCCTGCGCAGGGAGTCTGAGGCTGGGCTGACCCGAGCGACCTTGGCCCTTGCTTCCAGCTCCCGAGAGCGCGGGCGTCCGCGCCTCGGTCGTGCAGTGAGGCTCCGCGCACCTGGAAGCCTCCCCAGCCCTGAAGGGTGGGCCCTGTTCTCATAACCCTCTCTGAAGGAACCTGAGCTTCAGCGAGGCTCAGCCATGGGCTGCCCAGCTGGTTAATGGTAAAACCAAGGTAGATGGACAGTCTGGCCATCCCAAGGCCACGCTCTTGGCCAGAGGATCCGGGGTGCTCGTCTCCGAGGAGACGAGGCCCGTGGCCCCATGCCCCTGTGCCCAGCAGGCATGCGGAGTGATGGCTCAACCTTGGGACTGGGGGCACAGCTGGGCAAGGGGGCCTTCCTGAAGTCACCTGACGACCCGGCACTGGAGGGCGAAGCTAGGGCCCCGGGACAGGCAGGACTCAGCGGGGCTCAAAGGGAGGCTCCCTGTCCCCCTGGGAAGGAGCTTGTGGCTGCCCAGCCGGCCCCTTCCTGGCCAAGCGCCCTGGGGGAAGCAGGTGGGCTGCAAGGGGGGGGGCAGCTGCGAATCGCAGCCCCCGCCCCCACGGGCCTCAGCTGCGCAGGGGTGGCGGTGGGGGCCCAGGCGAGGCCCCCGGCGGGCGCTCGGCGGTGCAGGGCCAGCTTACTCGGGTAGCGGTAGTAGAACTCGTTGTCCAGGTCGCTGGAGATGTTCCGGGAGCGCTTCTCCGCCACCCAGTGCGCGTCGGCGTCGGGGTCGTAGCGCACGAACGCGCCGAAGAGGACCACCAGGGCCGCCTGCAGCAGCAGGCAGGCGAGCGGCAGCCGCCAGCGCAGGTTGGTGTTCCAGGCCATGCCCGGCGCGGCGCGCGCGGGGCTGCGGGCGC